ACAATTCGTCGGGGGAAAAAATTATTATATGTATTTTCTACATATTAGAAGACACTAAAATAATTAAATAAGCCTCTAAAACCCCTAAATTGTTTGAATTTTCGGGGGCATCGCCCTCTGGACCACTTTCGAAACCTTTTAATCGAAGGTCGACCACGCCCACTTTACTTTCGTCGGGGAAATCTGACCCCTCGTCGGGGGCATAGGACCCCCGTCGGGGACCTCGGCTCCCCTGTCGGGCAAATCCTGGCGCCACTCCTGCCAGCTAGGAAACTAAATAAATATGCACCATTGTCTTCTGTGATTGGTTGATTGCTTACTTTTCAATGCTTGGTGGATATAGGCCTAATGCAATCTTCCAGATTTGTTTGCTTTAATGGTTAGATATAATGCGTAACTCTCATATTAATTTCATATTTATAAACATTTTTGGGGTATATGATGAATTCCCATGACAGATTACATCCATAGGATGCCCCTAAGCCAAAAATTTCAAAAATTTCAAAAATGGATATAATGCGTTTTTGCGAATCACGGCAATATATATGCAAGGATGCTTTGAAATGTTTATAATATACATTTGTGTCTTACAAATTGCAATATATTTTTGAGAAAATTTAAAATCCATGGTATTATTGAACGTCTTCTAGTCTATACCATGAGTGGCTTTTAGCCTTGTATATGGCGATTTACATAAAAAAGCCGATTTATATGCTTTAAATTTAGACTGGTTTGCCCTCCCCAATCCCACTAGCTAGACCTACTTCTCTCAGTTTCTCTGTTGCTCTTTTTTTTTGGATTGTCAATAATTGATGCATACGACAAAAAGCATAAATGTACGCTATCTTTTTTCAGCGTAAAGCACCGTACCATTCGAGACAATGCTACTTAGCCTAGGCTTGGCCCTACCCGATAAGAGTTTTACTGTTCCTTGCCCCTACTACTTGGCTATTAGTAACTACTCAGAGAGGCCTAGAATAGGTTGTGTCGTCAGTTTCTGTGATTATTGTTTATCCGATTGATTTGCCATAATTTAATTACAATTCTTCCTAACGATTATATGATGCACTGTAGGCCTTCGATTACCAAGGCTTTTCGACCGGAATTCCCATTATTTTTATAGCCATGCATCATTGTATTAGCTTGAGTTTCGCATACTTAATTGTTGCAAATAAAAAGTTCGACATTTTCCATTTCTATTTAATACCTATTTTCGCAGACGCTGCTTGGTTAATGAGACGTCTTTTTGGTAACTGCGCATGCTCGACATGACTTGACAATGTCAATTTCTCAGTGCACATGCTCACTTGATGTCCATCATCTCCAAGCGCATGCTCACTGTGCTTTTATATATATATTACGGACGTTATTTGGTAACTGTGCTTATCAATAGAATACTCACCTCAAAAGTCTTTTGAAAGATGATAAATTACAGTCAGGAGGACTATTGTTCTTTTTGTAGAACTGAAAGAAAAACTGTGCTTCACCTATTTTGTAAGTGTAATGTAATTAAACAAATAACAAATTTCTGTTCCATATAAATTCCTCACATTGAGGAACATTACACTACAGGCCCCTTATACATTGATTGTTGACAAATAATGTATGTTTTTTCCCTGTATCATTTGTACATTTCGGCTATTTTTGGTGTTTTGAAGTCACTAACATTTTCAGTTCATAATAATAATAATATTTATTTGGCATCAAAAAGACATGTTACAGTATTGCCAGGAAAGAGAATGGACATAAACCCGAACAAGAAAAACTTGCACTCTTATTCAACATCTTAACTACAAATTAACAGCTCAAATTAAAAACATCAAATTAACAAAAAAAAAAAAAAAATCAACTGCAAAAACAGTAACAAACAACAGAAATAAACAAAGAAAATGTAAAGGAGGGAAAAACAAAAAGCAACAAAAAAGAAGATATTATTGATCCATAAACAATCAACTAATACATTGA